GAAGGAAGCTGGCTGGCCTTTGGTTACAGCCTTCCAAAGTCGGAGGCTTACAGGCGAAGAACGATATCCAATGAACGAAGACGAGATTCGAACGCTTACCATTGATTGGCATAGCATAACGCCCTAACCCTCACACCTACCAGGAAGGCGAGCTCTTTATCTATCTGCGTTAAGCAACAATATTAAAAATGACAGACTGAGGGTTGGAAAGAATTATTTAGCGGGAATCGAACTCACGACCTTAGCAATAATAAAAAAAATGATTATTTTTATGACACCTACGTAGGTAAGTAGTGATTTTCTAAGTCCGGCTTAGATGTGGCACAAGGCCAAAAGTATGGGGCATTCAGTGAGGATCGAACTCACTTTTCAGTAGTAACTGATCTAGCAAGACAAGCTTGCTAACCATTACACCACGCCGAGGTGCTTCTTACGTAGGTAAGTATGATACACGACAAAGCGTGGAAAGAAGTGGAACTTTGGCCATGGATCCGAGAGTCAGGCGCTCGAACACCGAAGAACCATTTTCCAAAGGCGTAGGATTCGAACAGGATTTCGATTATCTATCACTGGCCCCCATATCGAACGCATTAATCGTCACACCCGTCAGTAAGGACAGGACTGTTATTGTAATAATGAAACTTAAGCAATAATATTAAGAGTGACAGACTGAGACGAGGATAGATTTATACTCACAACCTTAACAATAAAAAAAATGAGTAACTTTTAATACACTTACACAGGTAAGCATTGTCCTTGGTTAAGTGAGAAAGGAAGTGAACCTTTGATTACAGCTTTCAGGGCCGGGTGTTCGCATGAGAAGAACAATTTCCAGTAACCTAGGATCGTATGGGATTCGATTATCTACCATTGGCTCTCATATATATATATATAGTAATCCACACACCCACAAGTTACTATTGGCTCTTATATCCACATTATTCCAGACACAAACCAGCAAGACTCGAAATAGGTGAATCAATAATATGCTATCTATCTATCTATCTATCTATCTATCTATCTATCTATCTATCATTATCATTTCACCTCTATCTATCTATCTATCTATCTATCTTTTCACCTCTATCTATCTATCTATCTATCATTTCACCTCTATCTATCTATCTATCTATCTATCATTTCACCTCTATCTATCTATCTATCTATCTATCTATCTATCTATCTATCTATCTATCTTTTCACCTCTCTCTCTATCTATCTATCTATCTATCTTTTCACCTCTATCTATCTATCTATCTATCTATCTATCTATCTATCTATCTTTTCACATCTATCTATCTATCTATCTATCTATCTATCTCTTATTCCACATCTATCTATCTATCATTTCACATTTATCTATCTATCTATTGACCATGGTCATTTCATATCTATCTATCTATCTATCTATCTAATACTAAAAACCTCTGAATAATGCGTACGTCGGCTGCTGGGTACATAATGATTTCAGTTTCTCTCCACCTCTCTCTTTCCATCACTCTCTTTCCACCTCCCCCTCTTTCCACCTCTCTCTCTTTCCATCACTCTCTTTCCACCTCTCCCTCTTTCCACCTCTCTCTCTTTTTCATCACTCTCTTTCCACCTCACCCTCTTTCCACCTCTCACTCTTTCCATCACTCTCTTTCCACCTCTCCCTCTTTCCACCTCTCTCTCTTTCAATCACTCTCTTTCCATCACTCTCTTTCCACCTCTCTCTCTCTCTTTCCACCTCTCTCTCTTTTCATCACACTCTTTCCACCTCACCCTCTTTCCCTCTCTCTCTTTCTTTCCATCACTCTCTTTCCACCTCACCCTCTTTCCCCATTCTCTCTCTTTCCATCACTCTCTTTCCACCTCTCTCTCTTTCCATCACTCTCTTTCCACCTCTCCCTCTTTCCACCTCTCTCTCTTTCCATCACTCTCTTTCCACCTCTCCCTCTTTCCATCACTCTCTTTCCACCTCTCCCTCTTTCCACCTCTCTCTCTTTTCATCACTCTCTTTCCACCTAACCCTCTTTCCACCTATCTCTCTTTCCATCACTCTCTTTCCACCTCTCCCTCTTTCCATCACTCTCTTTTCATCAATCTCTTTATACCTCACACTCTTTCCACCTCTTTCTCTTTCCATCACTCTCTTTCCACGTCTCCCTCTTTCCACCTCTCTCTCTTTCCATCACTCTCTTTCCACCTCTCTCTCTCTTTCCATCACTCTCTTTCCACCTCTCCATCTTTCCACCTCTCTCTTTTCATCACTCTTTCCACCTCACCCTCTTTCCACCTCTCTCTCTTTCCATCACTCTCTTTCCACCTCTCCCTCTTTCCACTTCTCTCTCTTTCCATCACTCTCTTTCCACCTCTCCCTCTTTCCACCTCTCTCTCTATTCATCTCTCTCTTTCCACCTCAGCCTCTTTCCATCACTCTCTTTCCACCTCTCTCTCTCTCTCTTTCCATCACTCTCTTTCCACCTCTCCCTCTTTCCATCACTCTCTTTCCACCTAATTCTTTCCACCTCTCTCTCTTTCCATCACTCTCTTTTCATCAATCTCTTCACACCTCACACTCTTTCCACCTCTCTCTCTCCCCATCACCCTCTTTCCACCTCTCTCTCTTTCCATCACTCTCTTTCCACCTCTCCCTCTTTCCACCTCTCCCTCTTTCTACCTCTCCTCTCTCCACCTCTCTCTCTTTCCATCACTCTCTTTCTACCTCTCCCTCTTTCCACTTCTCCCTCTCTATACCTCTCTCTCTTTCCATCACTCTCTTTCCACCTCTCTGTGATTGCGTGCGTGTTTATTTATATTTCAGCTTTCTTTAAACGAACAATATTTTAAATATTTAAAAGATTTTTTTGCCATATTAAAAAAATATTTTCAAGTGAATATGATTTTAAAATATTTTTTGGCATACTAAAAAATATTATTAAGTTAATCTGATTTTTAAAAATGTTTAAGTAAATAAGATTTAAAGATACGAGTTGTTATACAGTAGGTATTTTTATTTCAATTTTCTTCAAACAGACACTTTTTTTACTGTTAAAATCAGCTTCAGTGTTTTCTAACCAGAATCGTCAGTGACCCAACGGATCACGGGTAGCTTAGTATGTAATAGTATTAAAAGTGAATTGACTGCGACTTTGCGAGGATTGTCCAGCGGGAATCGATCTTGCTACCTTAGCATTAGTTTCAGACAAATGAAGAGTACCCGAAGTGAACAGAGATTGTTATTTAGATAAATGCAAAAAAAAAAATGAAAGTGATTACATTATTTATATTCGGCCAATTGTCCTCATTTTGTTGTTGTTATCACAACGTTTCGGCCGATGTGCTCTCCGGCCTTCATAAGGTGTATACTATACCGGGTAGACTACAGGGAATTCTGAACAGAACTGTTCATTTAATCTACGGCGATAGATTGTTCTTGTTCCACTGTCCATGCCTAGGGTTATCTCGTCTAGTTTTTATTTTTAGTACTGCTTGCCCTGTTGTTACTGAGTCCAAGTATACACTGCCCGGCCCAGGGATTGAACTCACAATTAATATATCACCAAATTCACGAACCAACGGTTTAATCCACTTGGCTTATAGTTCCGTTGTTCTTGAGTTTGGACGCAGTGGAAACGCTGAGCAATAACTGGACTGTACTAAAAATAAGAACGAGACGAGATACTCATAGACATGGGCAATAGGGCAGGTCGATTTTGAAACTGTGGTATTGCACTCAACTTAAAAGTTGAGTTTTAACATGATAAATAATGACACTTTATTTTTTTTTACCGTTTCTTGAGGAAACGAGTTTGAAGATTAAGTTCAGGTTCAAAATCGTCACAGGAATTTAATTCTGGTGATCAGTGAAAGCCTTATAGCACAGCCTTATAAAATTTTATATTTCACTGAAGCTTTACAAATTTATATAGATAAGATGCATGGCACAAACACGTTATTATTAATCAGTGTACCATCAAATCATTTACTTCAAAGGGAAATTATACTGAACAATTTAGCTATATTATAATGTAATATGTTATACAGTGTAGTAATTTTAGTGCAATTTTCAATAAACAATACAAATTAAAAATATTTTGTCTTATAATTGTGCCCAGCAATATTATGGTGTTATATACACTTCTATTTATATTCTGCTTTTATTAATTATGATCTAACAATTTTATTCATTGAGTAACCTATTTGTAATCTTTTTTTACAGTTTTTAATTATCGAATACAGTAAAAAGAAATACCTATTCTGCCCAGTGATTGCTCGTCCGTTTCCACTGAGTCAAAGTATACACTATTCAACTGCCTATGTTTAGGGATATCTTGTCTAGTTCTTATTTTTAGTACTGCTCAGTTATTGCTCACCCTTTTCCACTGAGTCCAAGTAGACACTGTTCCACTGCCGATGTCTGGGAATATCTTGTCTAATTATTATTTTTAGTACTACCCAATTATTACTCGCCCGTTTCCACTGAGTCTAAGTACACAGTACCCGGCTCAGGGATTGATAAAAAATCATCTAACAAATTTTGTTCATTGAGTAGTTTTTTTTTTTAATCTTTTAAATTTTGTATTACATTACTAGTATTATATTTCGATTGTAATCGTCTACCTTGAGTTGTTCTCCTGCCTTGTAATTGGTAATAAAAAAAAGTTTCAAAGAAAGTGAACGACTTAAGTATTTTTCCTCCAAATCTGTTTGAACATTTATTAATTCAAACTATTATCCTCGTCTTGGTTGCTATGATCAAAATGTTTCGGCTGCTTTACTCTTCGGGCTTTTTCATATGCCTGTCGTATTCGATAACGTTCTTATAATGAAACACTTTATTCAATCTATTGATTGGGGACTGTTCTCATTTCGCTGTCCATGCTAAGTTACTTAATTCCTTGGTTATATCTATCTCAATTTAATCATATATATATATATATATATATATATATATATATATATATATATATATATATATATATATATACAAATATAGATAACTATACTCGTTTCGAAAAACCCTTGAGTTTTTGATTTGCCAATAATCAAATCAATCTCGAGGAAAAAAAGGTTTTAAAAAGAAAGAGCTACAAACATGACAGTCTGTCGAAAAAAAAATTGCACAGATGCAGGTTTGAAGCCCAAAGAAAAAAATACGATACGAGAAACAACTAACAAAAAAGAGCTCAATACAACCGGTTTGTCTGTCTCACTAGGTGTATATATATATATATATATATATATATATATATATATATATATATATATATATCCGTTTATTAATATCAATCAATCTATCTCAGTTTGTTTATTTACATCTATCTATCTCAGTCTATTCATATCTATCCAAGTTTATTCAGATCTCTCTATCTCAGTCTATTCATATCTATCGATCTATCTATCTCATTTTATTCATATCTATCTCAATTTATTCTTATCGCTCTATCTCAATTTGTTCATATCTCTATATCTATCTCTAGTCTATCCATCTATCTATTCCTCTCAGTTTATTCATATCTATCTACAATTTTGAAGGAACCGGAAACCCAAAGCTAAATAGGAAAAAAGGGATAAACCTCTACTCCTGTTAAAAAAAAACACAATCCCCAGATTCTTATCAGTATGGGAAGGAAAACTTTCTTTTTTGTCCATTTTAATTGCTTATAATAATGATTTTCACTGAAATGGCTGCCATTTTTTATCTCTTTCTTTAAAATGTTATATTACATTTGGAACAAGTTTATTAAATTCTTATTTGGAAAAAAATGTCTGAAGTGATACCGGAAGATTCTCGAATTGTAGGCGTTGTTAGTGCCGGATTGGCGAATGCTACAAGCCCCGCATTTTCGGGGGCTTTACATTAAATAATTCCATCTTGTCTGATTTGGTATGTCGTAGGAACTGCATTTTTCATTATCATTTCAGGCAACATTATATCGACGACGTTAAATTTATTATGTTGACAGAAGTTAAATATTCGACGACAATCTTCATTTTGCCACACTGAAAAAGAAAAAAAAAACAAAAGAAAATAATTTTAAAGAGAACGCCATTTTGAAAAAAGAAAAAAGAAAAGTCAAAGAAAGTTAATATGAAATCAAAGCTCTATTAATTTAGTAACAAAAGTCAAAAATACTACATCGCCGGCATTTTCGAGGGACACGCCTTTTCGATGGCCCCACATTAAATACTTTTAAGCTGCCTGATGAAATCGTTATCTCACAATCTGGTAATGTTTATATAGCAGCATCTTTAATTATTCATCGTGCCAGGTAACATTATATCGAGGCTGTTAAATCTAACGAAATATCTCGTTGCTTCATATTTGTTTTTATGCCATTGCCGCATATTTATTTGTATATTTCATATGGGTTTATCTATTAAGTTGACAGATATTAGATACTTACCTATTTTATAAACTCTATCACTGTGAAAGTAAATCATTTATGATCTAATATGTATGCTTCAACTAGGCTGGCATCTCGCTCTCACCCTTTCACTGTCTAAACTGTTAAATGTAGCCGTCTCTTCTACTCCAATAGTTTCACGTCTCGCACCTCTCGCATGTGGAACTTCCTTCCCTATTCCTGTTTCCCTATAATCTCCAACTATTCAAATGTAATGTCAATCGACGTCTCCAGATGCTTTGATCTATCCCCTATTCATCCTTTCCTCTATCACTCCTCTTTGCTCTCACTCGAACTCTCTGTAACCCCTTGCGTGCTAGTGGCTTCCCGCCTTGCTTGGGGTGAAATGCTTAAAAAATGCTTGTAATTTAGACCCACTTCATATCATATGACGTATGTTCCGGTACTGGATTACTCTGGCCCTGATAATAGTAACTAATAACGAGTATTTATAAGTGAAAATCATTCATTTACATTCAAGACGAAAAGAGATGCTCAGATTTAGGAATAATAAAATGCCGTTTAGAAAGAAAAGATATACACACATTATCTTTTAGCTGAAGACTTTGGGGACAGACACTTTTCATATTTCGAATTTTTTTCTGATTTCAGATTGATCTACTCTCTTAGACTGGAGGATATACATAGATAGATATGAAAAGACAGATAGATAGATAGATAGATAGATAGATAGATAGATAGATAGATAGATAGATAGATAGATAGATAGATAGATAGATAGATGAACAGCATGGGATAGTTATGAATAGACTTAGATAGATAGATAGATAGATAGATAGATAGATAGATAGATAATGAATTACCTGAAATAGATAGATAGATAGATAGATAGATAGATAGATAGATAGATAGATAGATAGATAGATAGATAGATATTTAGATAGATGAATGAATGGGATATAGTTATGAATAGACTTAGATAGATAGATAGATAGATAGATAGATAGATAGATAGATAGATATGAATTACCTGAGATAGATAATGAATTACCTGAAATAGATAGATAGATAGATAGATAGATAGATAGATAGATAGATAGATATGAATTACCTGAGATAGATAATGAATTACCTGAAATAGATAGAT